TTTTTTTTTTTTTAAAAAAAAAAAAAAAAAAAAAAAAAAAAAGTGGTCACAAATAATAAAAAAGGAAACGTACCAAATCCAAATAAAAGACTAATTCTACTTTTCTTAAAACTAACAGTGACGTTTTTCCTCTTTTAGGGCATTAAAAAGACTTAAAATTTCAATTTCCCATCTACATTTACTATGCAAAATACTTGAGTACATTTTGCACAAAATAATTACCAATCTGATACCAGGTATCAAAAATCAAACTAGAATCTTGTTGGTATTCAATTGCATATAACTTTACCAAACGTTGACAAGTGGGCTGATATTTTTCATGCTAGATGGCCTGCCTTGAAGTGGAAAAATGTTTTGGAAATTTTTCAGTCAAAAGAGTCAAGTAATTTTTGAGGGCAAGGCAAGGGAAAAACCTCAAAGATTTTCCCATATTAAACATTCTGACAATTTTTTATTTGAAAAGATCTTCTTCCGCTATAGAGCAGCAGAAGCATAACAAGTAGGGTTGGCACCCCGGGCTACCTCTGTGGGCACAGTGGGGTGGAGAGTTGTGAGGAGTGTGCAGAAGCAGGGCGGGTTCTGGTGGGGGGTAAAGGGAGGTGCTGCTGAGCAGGGGTGGGAAGTGGGTTTCAGGAGTTTTACCTATGCTGGCGACTCAAACACAGTCCCCAGTTGCTGCTGCTGCATGGTCTGCTTGCCCCAGCTGTTGCAGCACAGTGTTTGGGTATCTTGCTACCGCTGCAAGTGGAACAATGTAGGGCTGCTTCTCCTGCCAGGATACAAACTCTGTAGAGGTGACATCCCTCCTAAGTTGGCATCCAGGAATGGTGCCCCTCTCGCCCACTGCTAGTTAAACTACTGTGGAGCACAGACATGATGTTTAGCAGAGGAGCAGCCTTTGTGAATGGATGTTGTTTTTTCTTTTTTATGAAAATCTACTGAAATTAAGCAAGAGACAAACCTTCTAAAAAATCTCAGTTTACACATGTGCAATAGTCTTTCTAGTGCCTAACAAATAAGATCCTAAAACAGTCCATTCTCCCTGAGCATGAATAAGCCTCTCATTGCTCGTACTGATGATCTAACAATAAATACACTAGAGCTACAGAGCATCTGTACGTGACCATCCTCTTACAAGCCCCTACCTGTGTCCAGCTACACATCAGTCACCCCCATTAGGCAAATAAGCATGCTCTGGCATGAAGCTCTGGTGAACACAGAAATATATTCCCTTTAATAGCTGTTCCAGATTTGGGTAGAGTTGGATGCTGCAAATGAAAGCAGGGAGTTGGTCTCTTCTCTCCTATGAATGGCATACCTGCTGGTACCTTGGCAGCACAGAAGAGGAAAATGTGAATGCAGGGGGGACAAAAGCCAGACAAGTGTATAAGGAAAGGAGTGGATTAGGACAAGGACTCTGATGAGACTGTGAAGGAAGGGGATGAGAAATGGGCTGGTAGATGAAGAGGTGGGAAGGAGAGTGTCACTAGGAACCACACTGGGAGGGACAGGAGACAGAAAAGGCAGATGGTGTACAATGGGAGGACCAGAACTGGCTGGGCAGGAGAGGCTGGGACAAGTGATAAAGAAGGCCGTGTGGGCAGCAGGAGGGAATGGAGGGGAAGAATGGGGGTAGCGGGGGGAATGGGAAGACAGACTGGATGAGGAACCAGGAGAGGAGAACTACGACT